TCTATTTGCACTTTTTTGAGAAAGCGCCACACCGCCTTCCACAATGGTTGCACCATCTTACATTCCCACCAAGAGTGAATAAGAGTTCCAGTTTCTCCACATCCTCGCCAGCATTTGTTGCTTGCTGTTCTGTTATATTTTGCTATTTTGACTGGGGTGAGATGATATCTCATAGTTGTTTTCATTTGCCATATTTCTATAGAAGAAAAAGCTTTCACTATCTTATAAAAGTTACAAAAAGCTTTGTGTTAAAGACTTTTATATCCTTCAGGTAAGTCTAGCTGGTTTAAGGTATTTCAGGATTGGGGGTGCGATCTAGCATTTTCCTACATAGAGAACTGTGAAAAATCCCAGTAAACTGAAGTCCTGTTTCTCCAACACATGACAAATTTAATTGAACACTCTAGAGAAGCAAAGATATTTAGTTCCCATTTACTGAACATGGTGCTACCTATCCATCAACAGTAGCCACTCCTTTCTTACCTAATGTTTATTTAAAAACATACTTCAAATGGCCCACCAGTAATAGCGGCATTACTGGGAAAATCCAATTATGTGAGTCATTCTACTATACTAGAAAAATGTGCTCTTTGTAATTCCTAAAATCTTTTAAAAATTAAATCAATAATAAAGCATTACACTTAGAAAACAGCCAGTTTTAGAAGCACATTTACCTGTTGTGGTCATTTCATTTTCAGTCATTTCTGTTATGGCTTTTGGCTTACTGGCTGCATTTTCCTGTTCATTAAGGTTAGCCTCTGCAACAGATTCTAATGAATCAAGCAGCACAACTGCAACAATATGAAGGGGGGAAAATTAAAAATGTAGAAAAATATATGTAGTTCCTTTATTCTAATAAAATTATTTAAGATGTAATGTATATAAAATAAGATAAATGTATATATAATAGCATGTGAACATATATCAAGCATGTCTTCCTACTTACAAAGAATTGGTTAACATAAACACACAAACATGTGTTTCTGTATGAATTTAAGGTTATGCAGATTTGTACAGAAGACAAAAATGACTAAGAAGAATAACGGAAAAGAAATATTCATAAATATAACAGGATGATTCCAGAAAGGCATAGAAACATACTGGAAAACCTACAAACTTTAATTCTTTAAGGATATCTAACAACAAAGATGATGATTTGTTCAGAGTTATTATTCTACATAGATAAGATTTTTTTGGTGCCAACTGAAAATATAAATATAATATTTACCATTAGCCAGCATGCCAGTTTTCTCTTCTTCCTAAATTAAAAAATTTAAAATCCCAATTTAAAACCAAAGTAAAACCATAAAGCAAACAGATAAAAAAAATTTAAAACCTTTATTAAAGAAACAGAAAAGTGCTTTCTAAGCACAGAGTGGATGGTCAGGTTAGTACGAGGTTGAGCAGGGTTGTGATCTGCTGTGCAGAGGGCTTCCGAGTGAGAACTGATGCTGTGGCACCTAACACAACTCTCACTGTAACACCATCGTTGACTCTGTCATTACTGCACAGAATTAACAATTAAATAGAACTTGAAATCATTGCTTTGTCTATAATGTGGAAGAAAATTTTCAAATGATCAAGAATTTATCAAATATACTGATGCCCAAATTATACCTCCAGTCCTGAAAGGAAAAAAAGGTCATGAAACCCTTGTTCCAGAAGATCAAATGCCTTCAATGTGGATTATACCTCTACATCAAGGAAAAAAAAAAAAGAAATTCTCATCACTGGACCAACAGACAACATCGTGACGGATGGAGGAGACTGAAACTATAAACAATTTCATTATATTTGGATCAATAATCAATACCCATGGTATCAGCAATCAAGAAATAAAAAAAAAAAATGTGTCACACTGGGAAAGTCTGTTTACAAGGCTTTCTCTAAAGTTCTGAGGAAAAAGATGACAGTTTAAACACTAAGGTGCACCTAATTAAAGCCATGATCTCTGTTCAACTGCTTTCTTACACATCTGAAAGTTGGACAATGACTAAGGATGACAGAAGAAGAATCAAGCCTTTGAATTGTGATGTTGCCGGAAGAGTATTGATTATCCCATAAACTGCCTAAAGAATAAGTTCATCTTGTAAGCAGTAAAACCAGGGTGCTCCTTAGAGGCAAGGATAGCGAAATTTAACCTCCCATACTTTGGCTATGTTGTCAGGTGGGGCCAGTCACTGGAAAAATACATCAGGCTGAGACAGGTGGAGATCAGCAAAAGAGAAGTCCTTCAAAAAGATAGACTTATAAGTGTGACTACAACTATGGGCTCAAACATATCAGAGATTGTGAGGATGACACAGGATAGGGCAAGGTTTAGATTTGTTGTTCACAGGGCCAGTATGAGTCATAGCTGACTTAATTGCACCTAACAACAAAAACAGAACAGTTACGTCTTAAGACTATAGGTTCTTGCAGAATATGTTTTTCAGTTAGTACTGGCTTGAAAAAGAAAAATGCAGTTTCTTCCCATAAAGATTTACAATCTCAGAAATGGTTCATCAGAAGTGAGACTAGAATCAATTTCATTAGATTTGGTTTTCTAGTGCATTCTTTATAGGAGCTCTGATGGTGCAATGGATAGGTGCTTGGAAACTCTACAGGGCAGTTGTATTTGGTATCATGTTGTTGTTATGTGCCACCAAGTCATCTGCATCTCACAGTGACCCTATGTACAATAGCTCTGAACTCTGCTCTATCCTGAGCCAGTCTCAGTGTCTCTGACACACCTACTCCCATTACCCTCAGTACCTTGTCAATCCATCTCATTCAGGGTCTTCCTCTCCTTCACTGTCACTCAACCCTTCCAAGCATGATGTCCTTCTCCCAGGACTGGACCCTCCAGGCCACATACCCAAAGTATGAGCCTCAGGAGCCTTGCCTCCAAGAAGAAACTTAGTTTCACCTTCCCTGAGACACTTGTTTGTTCTCTTGGGGGGTCAATACTCTTCTCCAGCACCACAAATCAAAAGACTCTCCTGATATCCTTAGTCATTGTCCAGCTGTCTGACACAAAGCAAGTAATTGCAAAGACCATGGCCTGGATTAGGCACACCTTAGTTTCTAGGCTGACACCATTATTCTGTAGAGAGATGTATGTTTGGAGAGGTCTCTGACAGCACACTTACCTTATTTAATTCATCTTCTGATTTCCTCAATGCTGGTACCAAGAATGTCGTCTATGGTGCTGTTAACAACCTCAATTTCTTCTTAATCTACTGTGGTGCTTCCAATTGGTCCAGTGGAGAGAACCTTTGCCTTCTTGATGTTGAGCTTCAATCCATATTGAAAACTACAGTCCTTGACCTTCGGCAGCAAGTGCTTCAGGTCCTCCTCAGTTCGGCAAGCAATGTTGTATCATCTGCATTATGCATGTTGTTGATGAGTCTTCCTCCAATCCTGATGCCACATTCCTCTTTCTACAAGTCCAGCTCCCAATGGTCTGTTCCACATGTTGTTATGTGCCATCGAGTTGCCTGTGCCTCATAACAACTCTATATACAACAGTCCTAAACCCTGCTCTATCCTGTACCAATCTTACTGTATCTGGCACACCGGCCCCCATTACCCCAGTGACTGAATCAATCCATCTTATTGAGGGTCTTCCTCTCCTGCACTGTCCCTCCATGCTCCCAAGCATGACATCCATCTCCAAGCACTGGTCTTGCCTTGCAACATGTCCAAAGTATGTCAGACAAAACTTTAAAATCCTTGTCTCCAAGGAACAACCTGGTCTCACCCTCTCTAGGATGAACCTAGCAGTTCATGGTATATTCAATACTCTTCCCAGCACCACAGTTCAAAGGCATCAATTCTCCTTCTATCATCTCTAGTCATTGTCCACCTTCCTGATGCACAGCAAGTAATTGCAAAGACTATGGCCTTGATCAGGTGCACTTTAGTCTCCAGACTGACATTGTTGCTCATTAGTACTTTGGAGAAGTCTCTGACAGAAGACTTTCCCAGTTCAATTTGTCTTTTAATTTCATGGCTGCTGGTACCAAGAGTGTCAACTGTGGAGATAAGCAAACTAAAGCTGTTAACAATCTCAATCTCTTCATCATCTATCATGATGTTGCCAATCAGCCCAGTGGTGAGAATTTTGTTTTCTTGCTGTTGAGCTTCAATCCATATTGAAGGCTGCAGTCCTTGACCTCCTGCAGCAAGCACTTCAGGTCCTCCTCAGTTTCAGCAAGCAGGGTTATGTCATCTGCATAATGCAGATTGTTCATGAGTCTACCTCCAATCCTGGTGCCACATTACTCCTCATAGAGCCTAGCCTACCAAATAATCTGTTCTGCCTATAGATTGAAAAGGTATAGAGAAGGGACACATCCCTGGTGTACACCCTTCCCAATTTTGAACCAGGCTGTGTTCCCTTGCTCTGTTCTGACAGCTGCCTCCTGGTCCAAGTATAGGCTTCAATCAAGTATTCTGGGATTCCCACTCTTCTCAGAGTCAGCCATAGTTTGTTGTGATCCACAGTCAAATGCCTTTGCATAGTCAATGAAACACAGACATTCCTCTGCTACTCTGCTTTCAGCCAAGATCCATCTAACATTAGCACGGCCTCTTCTGAACTCAGTCTGCACTTCAAGCAGTTCTCTGTAGATATGTTGTTCCAGTCGTTTTTGGATAATCTTCAGCAGAATCTTGCTTGCATGTGATATCAATGATACTGTTTGGTAATTTTCTCAGTCTGTTGGGTCACCTTTCTTTGTAATGGGAACAAATACAGACCTCTTCCTGTCAGTTAGCCAGGTGTTTGTCTTCCTGATTTCATTGCACAACTTGGTGAGCACACCCAGGGCAGCATCTGTTTGTTGAAATATAACAATTGGTATGCCATCAATTCCTGGGGCCTTTTTTTTTCTGCCAGTTCTTTCAGAGCAGCTTGAACTTCTTCCCTCATCACCACAGTCTCATGCTCATATATATTGTGTCATGAAATTTTTCTGTGTTCACCAATATCTTTTGGTACAATGACTCTGTATACTTTTCCCATCTTTTAACACTTCCTGGATCATTTAATATTCTACCCACAGCATCCTTAAGTATTGCAACTCGAGGCTTGATCATGTTCTTCAGTTCCTTCAGCTTAAGAAATGTTAAGTGAGTTCAGCCCCTTTGATTTTCTGACTCCCGTTCTTTGTACATTTCATTGCAATACTTTGTCTTCCTGTACTGCCCTTTGGAATCTTCTGTTCAA